CGGGGCGGCCGTTGGCAGCGGCGGGCTGTGGGGCGGGCGCTGCCATGGCAACAGGGGCCGCTGCGTCCCCCCGGGGGGAGGTGCATGCCCTCGGGCCGGGCCGGGCCGATGCCGGCGCCGCTGCGCTCCGTGGAAGATGTCTCGGCGGCGGTGGAATACCCCTGGCAGTGCCCGTGGCCGGGCTGGGGACAGCTCCATCCAGGTAGGGCTAGGCTGAGCTGGTCCTGTCCCGTCTCGTCCCCCAGTCCCCCATCCTTCCCTGACCTGCGTGTTTCTGTGCTCCAGGACTTCCAGGTGGGGAACCTGCTGGGCAAGGGCTCCTTCGCTGGCGTCTACAGGGCCGTGTCCCGCAAAACTGGCCTGGAGGTGGCCATCAAGATGGTAAGTGCTGCTTCTGGTCCAGGGCATCCGAGCCCCTTCCTGCCGCAGCCTGCGCCTCCCAACTAAGCGGGCGGAGCTGCGGCAGGTGAGGGGTTTGGTTTGCGCAGTGTGGGTCCAGTCTTGTGTGGGGTTTTGGTGATGGGTGTATGGGGTAGTTTGGAGAGAAGGATGATCCTGCCTCAGGCAGGGGGTTGGAGTTACGTAATCTCTGGGGGTCCCCTCCAGCCAGGCTTCTCTGTGACTTTAAGCAAGCAGTTCCCAAACCGTGGGTTGTGACCCTAAATGGGGTGACAACATCAGCAGATGGGGCTGGGGGCTGTGAGTTTGGAGTGAGGGGTCATGCTGAGGAAATGGGGCCATGCTGAGGAAAAGTGGGAAGGACAGCTCCAAGCACTGGTGGTGTCTCCCTCCCTCTTCTCCCCAAACCACCCCTTCCTCTGCTTGCCTTGCAGCGGGGTCCACTCATGCCTTCTGTTGGGGTTTAGTTTGAGAGGCAAGGATTGCTTAGGGTGGTATTACTGGACCACCTGGGTAGTTAAAATAGAGTTAGACCAGCTTTTCAGTGCAACGTGTTCTTCAGGTCTGCCCATAAGAAGCCAGGCACCGCCAAGTAAGGGAGAGTTTAGTTGTGAGGTAACACTGAGGGGTTCCAGTCTCCTTGCATTTTCATCCTACTGAGCACGGTGCAAGGGTGCAGAGGAACTGGGCTTGATCTACAGCTGGTGCAAGCTGTCAAGTTTTCATTTAAATCCTCTTGAGCAAAGACAGCGTACATCAGCTGAAGGGCAGACTTTTAATCCTGGCCCCAAAGAGTTCTCGTTTGAAGGACCTGACTCTGGTTTGACACCACAGAGGTCTTGTGCACAGCAGCTTGCATGTCAAGACTTCAGTTCAGGGTGGGCTGAAAAAATTCCATCCACGTGCAGATGATAACCTCCTTGTGATCCAGCTTGCTGATTATTTTTTTTGTCCTTTGTTGACTGGTTTTATTTTATGGGGAAAAATACTTGTTTTTATTTAATAAGCTTTACCTGTTCATATTATTTTTTGGCGTATTGTATGCCAAAGCTTCTAATAGAAAATGTGCAACCTGTCAAGGTTTTTCTGCATAATTTTTTATTTTTTTTCCAAGGATTTTTAGAATTATATAAATATGCAACTGAATGTGCCTAAATATTTACCTGTATTTTCATCTTTTTGTTAGTTCATCCTGATTTGGTTGTATAACTGCTTTTTTAAGTTAGATTATTCCGAAGTGTTTACTAGGAGCAATAGTTTTAAAAGCTTAAATCATAACATTATGCCAAGTCAAAGTAGAATTGTCCTTCACTCTTTTTAGCCTTTTATGAAGGCTAAAAATGTAGGAAAAACTTACAAAAACCTTGTAAAAGTCAGTATGTTGCAATAGATGCGTAGTGTCTAATGGTACCATTCACAATGCTAGTTCAGTTCTAGAATATGATTTTAATTTTACTGGAAACTACATTAATTTGTGTGGAAGCACTAAAGCACTATTATAAAACTTTCTTTCCCTTTTCAGATTGACAAAAAAGCCATGCACAAAGTTGGAATGGTACAGCGAGTTCAAAATGAAGTGAAGATACATTGTCAACTGAAACATCCATCTATACTTGAGGTAAGAAGGGCCTTGAAGAGAAGGGAAGACTGTAGAGTTCTGTATATGTTACAAAATACTTTTACCTTTTTACTCTGCTTTTATATTCTAGCTGTATAATTACTTTGAAGACTGCAACTACGTGTACCTGATACTAGAGATGTGTCACAATGGAGAAATGAGCAGATATCTGAAGAACAGACAGAAACCTTTTGCTGAAGAAGAAAGTGGGTTTGTTTTTATGTAATTGCATTTTGCTTATTGAGTACATATTTAATTTTGGTGCAAGTTTTCTTTGTATTTTTTTGGTTTTTTCCTACTTATTTCCTTTTGGACAGTGTTGTGTAACTATGTCTGCTTTTCTTTTTAAATACTTCACTATACAAGCATATATGGTTGAAATAAAAATTGACATAAGATCTTCAAAGTAGATCTTACAGGTTTTACATTAATTTTTTGTTAAGGTGGAATGTGAATTGGTGACTGTCTGAATTGGAACCATCTCACTCCACAAATGTACTCTCTCTGTGTAGTTGTACTGCTTCATTTCTAGTCTGTCTGGTACAGCCTCAGTTCTAAGGTGGATGTGAAAATAAGGTGGCTGTTTTTGTTATTGAGGCCCATGTTTTAGCTACTGGTAGAAATCCTTGCTACTGGTGTTGAGAGAGAATCCCGCTTGACTCAAATTTCAGGTTTCCAGGGCTGGAAGTTCAAAGCAAGCCATCTCCACTATATTTGTACACACTGTGCACACTGAATTAAAAATCATTGATATGAGTTTTCATGTTGTTATTCCCAGAATTGCTTGTTTGAATAAGTTTACGCCTTGGCAACTACTGTTGTTGGTTTTATTGCATCTGTTTTTAGACACTTCATGTTCTAGTTGTGAGGATTTTTTTAAAGTACTGGAACACTTAAGTCCAGTTTATTGTTCTTGTTAAATCATTGTATCATCCTTACTTAGAAAGAGAGTTATAGGGCTGGCATAGCTCAGGGGTTCACCCAGGTACTTCCCTACACAGGGAAGGAAAGATCCTTATCTAAACTATTCCAGCCAAATTTTGCCTGTCCTTCACTTAAAAATTCAAAGGGTGGAGATTCCACAATACTTGAATAGTACAATCTAAGATCCAGAATTAAATTAAATTACAAAATGCTTTAAAATTGAAAAAAAATTGAGGAACTACTGTCCACAGATATTAAGTAGTTTGTTCCATGTTTTTGTATGATCTTTGTTCTCCACCTCTTCCTAAAATAGGATCAGGAAAAGGAAAACAGAGCATATTTGGGGGATGGGACTGAAATTCAAGGAAGTTGGTCACTGGGCTGCCTTGTGCAGTCCTGAAGGGTGGCAGCTGGCACTGCTTTCCAATCTATTTGTCTTTACTTTCACTGTAAGATGGGATTTAGGAGCACAGAAGAGTACAGTACCATATAAAGATGTTACTAAACATTCTAAACTTTGGAATGGATTGTATTTTATCTTGCAGTCTAGAAATATTGCAAAAACACAAGTCATTCAATCTTTTAAACAGCTATTCTGACAGACAAGCAAATAGACACCATTTTTTCTTAATTGTGTTGGCACTGCAAAGGCAGCTGGAATTAAGGTTGGTCAGGCTTAGTTCAGGGTAGATTTGGTTTAAATCAAATCTATTTAAATCATGATTTAAAGTGCAATTGAAATCACTGATTAGGAAGCCTCGATTTAATTGTTGTTTTCTACAAAAAGTGCATTCTTGTTGTTTGATATCCTCTCTTCACTGAACTTCTTGAAACTTTGCACTTTTAGAGAGAGGTAAGGGCTTGACTTCATGTACATAAACTTGCAGAGAGCCCAGAGGGCTGATCAAGTCTGTTATCTCATCTCCATATACTGCTGTTAACAAGGATGTTATCTGGAGACACAAATCCACAGACTGAGAACTGAAATTAAGCATCACAAAGATGCTTAATGGGATCTTTTATACTGAGCACGGAGTCCCATTGGGTAGAGTAGTTTTCTTTAATCTTTACTAATCTGTAGAGGAGCCTTTGGGAATCCCATAAGATTGGGCCCGTAATATAGTCCCTGGCCTGTTGTAACCTATTTATAAAACTTTTCTGAAAAGGTTACATGAATATGTTGTCTCGAATAGTATGTAATTAGAAGTTATAATCCCTATTCCATGATGATGTCTTTGAGCTTTAACATAGCTTAAATTAAATTAAAACTATCTTTACAGAGGTTTATTTTTTTAAACAAAGCATCTTAACAAAAAAAATGATAAAAAAATGCAAGTTTTTAGTTTTTGGCTTAGTTTTAATGAGACAAAATCATCTTGGACACTAAATAACAAAGGATTAGATTTGGGTAAGATGGTGGTTTTACATAGCCAAATTAACTGTACTTAAGTGGTCTAATGGTAAAGTTGTATTTCACATACTTGGGAATAATCCTGGGTTGCTCCAGATAAGTCTTTCTACAAACCACAGTCTTGCTGTATTCTGAAGTAATTAGAAACACTTTCTTCTGTATGCTTTTCTGGCGCTTTGCCTCACTTGCACACTAAGGAAGTGTCAGTTCTCGTAGCCAAAATATATTATTATGAAATGCTACTTCATTTTGGATGAGGTCTGAACTCTTGTGTATTCCCTGCATTGTGTAATTGCACATGTAATTGTAAAGCAAAGCTGTCTTAACTATGCTAGAATTAGCTGGCAGCAAAAGGGACTTAGAATTGTAGAATCATAGAAGTAGGGTCGGAAGGGACCTTGTAGATCTTCAAGTCCAACCCCCCGCCTGGGCAGGAGAAAAACTGGGCTCAAATGACTCCAGCCAGGTAGGCATCAAGCCTCTTCTTAAAGGCCCCCAGGGTAGGAGCCAGCACCACTTCCCTTGGAAGTTGGTTCCAGATCCTAGCCGCCCTAACTGTCAAGTAGTTCTAACGGATGTCTAATCTAAACCTACTCTCCAACAACTTAGGGCCGTTATTCCTTGTTATGCCAGGGGGCGCTAGGGGAAACAAGGTCTCTCCCAAACCCTTCTGGTCCCTACTAGTGAGTTTATAGATGGTCACCAGGTCCCCCATCAGCCTTCTCTTGTGAAGGCTGAACAGGTTCAGGTCCCGCAGTCTCTCATTGTAGGGTCTGCCCTGTTGTCCCTGGATCATGCGGGTGGCCCTCCTCTGGACTCTCTCAATATTGTCCACATCCCTCCTGAAGTGGGGCGCACAGAAGACTTACTGGAGATAATCACAGTTGTCACATTTCCAGTTTATTAGCGATATGTTACCGTGTGTCCAAATACCTACTGCCCTGCATTTATAAACTGTATGTAACATGCAATAAATACATAAAGACCAGACTTGTGGAAACAATATTACCTTCCTGGTAATATAAGAGGAAAATTTTTAAAGAGTGCTATCCATGTGGGGTTAGGTGAAGATACTTTCAAACTATACTCGTATTCTATCATCACATTTTACTCTCTGTGCATAAATACTAGAAATGAATAAAGATATGAATAAGAGAGCAATTAGGTTTCATAGACTAGTAATTTAGTTGAACAGTACAGTAACAACAAAATCTTCTACCTCATTAGCATATTTCCTTATGGTCAAGTCATTGCAATAAAATTTGTAGTACATAACAGCCTAGGGCAGATACGAGGCTATTTACAGTGTCATTGTTGCCAAACCTGAAGTTAATAGCACTAAATAACCTATTATTTTTCCTGTATTTTAACAGCTCGACATTTCATGCACCAGATTATCACAGGGATGCTATATCTTCATTCTCATGGAATACTACATCGGGACCTCACCCTTTCTAATCTTTTACTCACTAGCAACATGAACATCAAAATAGCTGATTTTGGACTAGCAACACAATTGAAAATGCCACATGAAAAGCATTACACAATGTGTGGAACTCCTAATTACATTTCTCCAGAGATAGCCACAAGAAGCGCGCATGGACTTGAATCTGACGTGTGGTCTTTGGGCTGCATGTTCTATACTCTTCTGATTGGGAAGCCACCTTTTGACACTGACACAGTCAAGAACACACTGAACAAAGTAGTATTAGCAGATTATGAAACGCCAGCCTTTTTGTCAGGAGAAGCTCAAGATCTCATATGCAAGTTACTTCGCAAAAACCCAGCAGATCGTTTAAGTCTTTCATCTGTGCTGGATCATCCTTTTATGTCCAGATGCAACTCAGCACGAAGTAAAGATTCTGGAACTGTAGAAGATTCCATGGACAGTGGCAATGCTACAATCTCTACAGCTTTTACTGGCTCTTCTAGCGTCAGTATAAGTGGTTACATGAAGGAAAAGAAAAGGTTCTTAGTGGGACAGCCACTTCCAAATAAACTTACTTTATTTCCTAAAAATAAGAATTCTAGTGATGCTTCCTCTGATGCTAGTAGCTCTTATAAAATTTGGGGAATTCAGGGAAAAGAAACTGGCGTGACTGGTAGAGGACGAACAATGCAGCTTACTGAAGAAAGGCCACATTCACGTTACCTCAGGAGGGCCCATTCTTCTGATAGGTCTGGCACATCTTCCAGTCAGACTCAAGGAGTACCAAATAGTGTTGAGAGGTGCCATTCCTTGGAGCTGCTTTCAAAACCCAGAGCAGGAATGATGGAACATATAGACAGCTATTCATCTACAAACAGCTACGGTGATATTCCTTCTATATTTAAGGAGAAGACTTCTAGTAATTCTGGCATCCAAACACAGTAAGAATATCTAACTTGAAATTGGTAGTGGTCCTGAGATAAAATTTTCAAGTTAATTGTTAAATGTATAATGTAAAATATGCTGTAGTAGATAAGTGCATCAGCTTGCTAGTGCAAATCCATTTTCTTCTAGCTTCCAAGAGATTCCTCCTGTGTGTTCTGGTGCCAGCAGCATGGTGCCATCATAGTGGGAGGAACAGGTGAGCAGGCCCTGAATGTTAGAAGCTCTGCAAGCAGGGCCTATATACCAGTAAAAGAGAAGTGTGGTCTCTATCTGTGTGGCTTGTTGAGGGGAGCCAGCAGGTAGGGGAGCAAAGCCTTGTCCAAAATCAATTACCATTACACTGGGTAGTGTTCTACTAACTATTTGTCCCTAGTACTCAGCAGATGCATGAGTGCTTTTGTTTCTTCGAAAAGGTCATGCCAGAGAATCTTCACTTCTGGAACTTTGTAGAAGACAGGAATGAGGGAAAACATTCATCCCTAGTTAGCTTACACAATGCTCTGAAAAATGTATGTATAAATACTAAATATTGTCTTATACAAAGGGTGTCAAACTCAAATAAGCCAATGGGCCATAATACCTAAAGCAGCTAGGGCAAGAAGTGAGAAATCTGGCCCAAAGGTTTCTTGTCATCTGAGCAACCCACCTTCTGGATGGCAGTTGTGGGGCTTCTTGCTGCAGCTGCTAGTTCTACTTTGTTGGCACTGCTAGCTCCCAGGGGGTTAATTCTGCTGCTCAGCTCCCCGCACCTCCCTTTCTCATTGCCAACTGCTGGCAATAATATTCTTGTGTGAACATGTCACAAGTCATTTTGATTCAGGCATAGTCCCTCCGTCACTTGAGCCTGACTTGGCCATTTGCCATAAGACTTTGATGGGAACAAGGGCAACAACTGTCCAGAAATATGACCAGTGAGTGGCCTCTCTCATCTATGTGAGAGAGTTTCAGTCTGGATTAGTATGAGTCCTAGCTGGCTTGAATTTTTTTTAAGACTTCAGTATATCAATTAGGTTTATAATTGTACAAGACAGTTTCTTTTTAGATTACATTCTTCAGATAGTGGTTGTCTTTACTAGATTTGCTTAGTGCACCTTGCCATGAAAATAGCCAGAATCTCCCTTGTTGAATTTCCTGAATTCCACGTGATTTCCTTAAACTGTACCAAAATTTATGACCTCTTTAGCAGAAAGAATATGGAGACATGAGCATATACAGTAAACCAGATTATAAATTCTGTGGCCATTCTGTGAAATAAAACCGCATCCTATTTATTAAGTGCCTTCTTGCACACACTTTATTTTAATCTGGGTTTAATGTGTTTATATACATTAGTGCTTCTATAACGGATCAGAATTGTTTGTTTGTTTAGATCAAATTATCTCTGTCCAGTGAAGTCCAGTGTTGGTTTGTTAGAACAGAAGACCCAGACCGAAACAATGCAGCAATGGCTTGGAGGCATGCAAAAAAATGGTATGCACTTGTTGAATGTCTTCTATATGTAATCCACCATGGGCCTTGCCCAAGCCAAAGAAATACTGTTATTAAGACATGTTAACAGCTTGTCTCTACTTTATAAATTAACTTATTTACTCACATGATGAAAAGATATAATTAAGCATGGTTAAATAATCCAGGACAGTGAAATATAATGTTAGTATTAATGAAAGAGATAGGATGTTGTCTAGCAGCTATGTTGCGACCAAAATCTTCTTCCTGGAGGAAAAGTGTAAGAGGAAATTTAAAAATGGATATGTCAAATAATATGGAGGGGTGGGGGGGGCACACAAAGGAATTCTGCTCTGTACAGGTTTACTAATTGCAAATTAACAGTAACATACTGTTTAAGAATAACTACCTACAACAGAGTAACTGGAGTTTTATTGTCAGTTTTTTCAGCTTTCTGAAACGGTCTTTTTTCCTGTCATTCAGGTTCCCAGTTTCTCTTCGGCAAGAATTATTAGTTAAGCTTACAGGAAAAAATACGTTTTGTTTTTTTATTCTTTCCATGTTTAGTGATGTTCAGAAATAGAATAGTTCTGTAGACTTTATAAATGGCTCTGACTGACAAATGAAAGTTACAAACCTTCTAACTGACCTAAGCTCCTAAAAACCTGTTTTCTACTTGAAAGTGGGAGACTTAACTTTTTTTTAAATATTTTCTTTTTACCCTAATGTGACTGTTCTGAGGATTAGTCGAAGAATGCCAGCTCTTATTTCTTAAGAGTCCCATTTATTTATGAGCATATGACATGAGAGAAACAGATGATGACTAGGGCTGCAGAAGGAAGGGTGGAGATAAAAAAACAAAAAAAACAACCAAAAAACCGAGAGAGACAGAAGGGAAGGAGGAGTTCTTTGCCATGCATTGTATTACATCATGTACACAGACTGTACATAATAAAGGTGTAATTTAATCAGGGGGTTTAAATAACATAAAACCCACTCCAATTTTACTTTGTTCTGATAGTGCCAGAGTCCATCCCTTCTAACCCTGGGGAATTCTAACCATATGATGTATGCTTGGAACTGCAGTATTTTTAATGAAAGCCAGCTTCTTTCTGTACTTGTTCTGTTTTCAACCCTGTATTGCTTTTGTATTACAGCAGAAGGGGTGTAGTTAATTGTTCTGACTTGGCTGGGGGGATGAGGTGCTGGATTCAATATCAAAAGTAGAGTAGCAGTTAGGTCAGATGTAAAAACAATCTGTTTTGTCAAGTTAAGGTGGGAAAACAGCATAACTGCAATGCTAAATGTGAATAATTTTACTTGCAACTTGCATCTTACTGCGATATTATGTATTAAAAAGTAGAATATTGTAGACTTTTTAAACCAGAGCTGTAGTCTGTTCAAATACTATATGTTTAACTAGATAAAATTAAATTTCTTCTTAGAAAGAATGCTTTACAGAGGTAGATTATATATAAAGTTTGCTCCATTGTTACTAAGGTGAAACTGACCAGTATTTCATTTAAAAACACTGTATGTTGATTTGTTTTTAGCTCATTTAAGACAGCCTGCAGATTCTGTCAGTCTTGGTATCCAAAACCTCCATTTATGTGACCATCTAGATGTACAACAGGAAATGTCAAGAGACCTGTGGAACAATATAAAAGATAAAAAGAATCCTGATGTCTCCCTTGACAGTGCATGTCCTATAAATCAATTCAGCTCAAAGAAATATGCTTCTGGACTTCCATTTAAGCAGAGCAAAGCTCAACCAGCATCCACATTTGTTCTCCATCCAGCTTCAGAGCAAAAAAATGCCCGGGGCAAAGAGCCATTAGGACATCAGAAGTCTTCACTGCGAAGTATTCTCTCTCCTCTCAGTGCTCACAGATTAAAATCCATCAGACAAAAAACAAAAAATGCAGTGGTATGTGTCACTTATTTCCCTTAATCCTTAAACACTCCTATCTTTAAAATTTAATTACAGTGGAAATGTACGTTTTTTTATTAAGAAAATACCTTAGTAAAACAGGAAAAGATGTACGTGTCCATTGCATATGTCTAGAAATAATGACAATTTCCTTAGAATGGTAAGTCTTAGTCGTAATGCATTGAAATCTCTTACTGGTCATTTTTTTTCCACATGTGGAAAGGATGGGTTTTTTAATTACAATGGTTCTAGTTATCATAGTTTAAGTTGGAAATATGTAACAGATCTATTTTCTCTGTCTTTGAACAAGGACTCCTGAACTTCAATACATCTCCATTTAATATTAATGCACGTCAGGCTTTAATTGTATCCGATTTAAATATATGTAGCTTGTATGTGTTTGCAGTGCATAACAAATATTTTAACTTGAGCTATGTGCAACCGGAAGTTAAGAAAATTATTCTCTTTCCCCTTATGAATGCATCAGTTCTTTCCCCAGTGTTTGGTGGCTTTTTTTTGGTTGGTCTCATATCAAACAGTGCATCTTCGTAGTTTCCAGTTTTTATCTTTCTGGCTTCCAATTCACTTTCTCCTCTTTTTTCCTAGTATCTGAAAATGTGTTAGGGCTGACGTACCTCCTGGATTCTGATTGGTTACTTTGGGAAACCACGTAACTGGGTATAACTCTTTGTTCATGCTGCAGAAGCATTGGAATTGTTAAGCAGCAGCTTAATCTGTCATGCTGTTGTTCATTTTTATAATAGGTTTTTAGTGAACATGAGAGAAGCAAACATTTTTTTGAAGTGTTGTGGAAGTTTGGTGTAGACCTATTCTGTCAAGAAATAATTATTTTTTTCCAATTTTGTGTTTTTTGTTTTTTCCTTAGGTGAGTATTTTAGATACAGGAGAAGTGTGTATGGAGTTTATAAAAGAACACCATTCTCAAGAGTTTGTAAAAGAAGTTCTTAAAATATCTTGTGATGGAAGTGTGGTAAGTAGTAATTTAACTTAAATTGTCATATTTCCTTTTATTACGCCAAGTGAATATTTGTTTGTTCGGTATGTCAAAAGCAAAACAACTATCTTTATTTCTTTAAGCTCATTTTAAAGTGAGTTAAACATCAGTTTGTTCTGAACAATTTATTTTTTATTTAGTGGTTTGTACCAAAAGATGACTGAGAAATCTGCAGAACTTTTTTTCTCTAGCAGTAAAGCCTTGCATCTTGAAGGTAGAAGACCACTTGATTTTAATGAATACGGATCCCTCCTTTTTGTTTTTGTGCTAAAATGGGCTTGGCTTCCAATTGAAACTCACTGAAATAAAATAATTGCATAGACAGCAATATAATAAATGATCTTATGTCTTGGATTATGAAAGAAACATTCGTAGCTTTCAGGTAAGGAATATTTTAGTATATTGCCTAATGATATTAAGTGTTTGGGGTTTTTTGGCAGATTACAGTATATCATCCAAATGAAGGAAGAGGTTTCCTTCTTGATGACAGACCACCTTCTCCTCCTGAAGATGTCTGTATGTACAGTTTTGACAACTTGCCAGGTAATGTGAACCTTCTTTTGCAAGAAATTGGGGAGATAAAAGTAGTTTATAGTAAGCTTTGTGTACAATAAGTGTCAGAATTAATATTGGCTGTATTAGCTAGTCCTACTAGCTGCAACTGAAACTGTGGCTGCATTTAAAGCTTTCTCCTTTGAAACTTAATAGGAATCATAAAAGTGAGATGAGAGACTGATCTTCTCAGTTTAATGATGTCCTTACAAGAAATTACCTATTCTGCTTCTACAATGTTGGAAAAAGGGATACGTGTTTTTGGGGTGGTTTTTTTTTTTTATAATTATTCTTAGTGTCCAGTGTTATGGTTACTTAAACTGGTGTGGCAAGAGTTTTCTTTAAAACTGGCAACTGGGACTTCATGGTAATTCTAATTTTTAAATATAAAACCTTAAATATTTCTTACAGAACTTATTTTTATATACATCTTGCTTGCACACTTTTGTTCACACACACACTAAGTAGTTTGTACAGTTTCCTTAAAGGTGCTTATTAGTACAGCATCCTCTTATTTTAATTGTAGGTCATTGACTGACTTTCTAAATTCAGCTGGAGGAATATTTTATATAAAAGATGTTCAACTTTTTTTAAATTAGGAATCAATACACACAAGTTGAAGCTCAAGATGAACGTGAGCTGGCAGCGTAACGAGGCCATCAGCAAGGCCAGTTGTATCTTGTGTAGTAGCAGATGCATGACCAACAGTTCAAGGGAGGTGATGCTCCCCCTCTATGCAGCATTGGTCAGGCCACAGTTAGAGTACTGTGTCCAGTTTTGGGCACTGCACTTCAAAAGGGACACAGAATCTGGAGAGGGTGCAGAGGAGGTCCACTCGCATGATTCGGGGCCTCCATGCAAGACCCTATGAGGGGAGGTTGAGAGACCTGGATCTCTTCAGCCTTCACAAGAGACGTCTGAGGGGAGACTTTGTAGCCACCTATAACCTTATCAAGGGAGGACAACAGGGAATTGGAGATGCGCTATTTACCAGAGTGCCCCTGGGAGTAACTAGGAATAATGGGTGCAAACTAGTGGAGAGTAGATTTAGGTTAGACATTAGGAAGACATTTTTTTACAGTAAGGGTGGCCGGAATCTGGAATGGGCTTCCAAGAGAGGTAGTACTATCACCTAACTTGGAGGTCTTTAAGAGGAGGCTTGATAATCACGGGGCTGGGATCATATGACCTCAGTCCTCTTTCCTGCCTAGGGCAGGGGGTTGGACACGATGAACCATTGTGGTCCCTTCCAGCTCTACAATCTAAGAAGTTATTAACATATGTGCAGCATTTTCCTGTAATGCATTTCATGTGGGTTGAATTAGTCAATACTGAACTACTGTATTTTTTCGCATATAGCTCGCACACTGATATATCTGCACCAATGTATAACCTGCGGAAAATTGTATTTTTGGAAAATAGTATAGACTGCACCCATGTATTCCCTGCACGTGATAGTGTCGGTGCTGGGGGCGATTTTAAGTCTATTAAGTGTGAGAGGTGCTGGCCCCAGCCACAGGCACTAGCTGCTGGCGTGCAGGGACCGGGCTCTCACTGCCTGCCTGCAGCTGCCTCCTGAGACATGGCTGCAAGTGCGGCCGCCCCATCAGAGCTCAGGGGCCAGGTGGCCCCTGCTGGGCCCCGCTGCGCGGCTATGGAGGAGCACAGTTGGGTGCGGGGCTCCCACATCTGGCAGGAGGGAGGCAGCGCAGGCTCTGCTGGGCATGGCTGCCGGAGCCGGGTAAAAGTGGTGCTAATTGCTGCAGGGGAGGGGAGGGATGGGGAGCTGTGAGGGGGGTGCGGGGAGGGAGGCAGCTCCGCCCACCACCTCCAGGTGCACTCAAGCCAATCTGCCGGGGCTCACCGCTGCTATGACATCAGCTCGCAGCTGGGGATGGGTGGGCACAGCACGGGTGGTGGTGGGGTCAGGGGCCTGCGGGCTGGGTCTGCTCCACGCCTTGACTCCTGTCTCGGGGCTCCCCCCAACAAGTCCTTCGCCCGGGTCCTCCGCTCCCGGCGCACAGTGCCCGCAGCTGCACAGCCCCCGTGCCCGCCTTGGCAAGGCGGGTTTTTCACGCCTAAATCTAATTTTCATTAAAGGCTGTTCTAAAGACTGTATAGCCCACACCCATCTGTCATGTTTGTAAAAACTTATATAGCCCGTGGACTATATGCGAGAAAATACGGTATGTTATAAGATGAGAGAAAATTTCCATTCCTAGGTGTAAATACCTAACGGTTGGAATTAATCTTCAGAAACATTATGGGTAAACACACTTTTTAAGTAACTGTATGAAATAATCATAAAGATTTTTTAAAAAAGTCCTCATCTTATTTTCAGTTAGTGGTAGCCAGGCAAACCTTGCAAACTGTAATGGAGTTAATGATTGTTTGGGTGACTTTCTAATGGATTCACACTAAAAATTCTTTCTCTTAGAAAAATACTGGAAAAAGTACCAGTATGCAGCTAAATTTGTTCATCTGGTGAGATCAAAAACACCTAAAGTTACCTTCTATACAAGATACGCGAAGTGCATGTTGATGGAGAATTTCCCGACTGCAGATGTTGAAGTTTGTTTTTATGATGGTATGTATTCAGTAAGGTGTAGTATCTCTCACGTTCTACCAAAGTTAAGCCTTTTTAACAAGGTTTTGCAGAAATACTGGTGATCAAACATTTTGTGCTTTTTAAAAGAATTTTGCCAAAGAGAAGTGTTTACTATATGTTCTAGCATTTTTGTCCATTAGCCTTTATACTAGTTTGTGCACAAGCTATTTAAATAGGGTCAATAGGTACATTAGCTCTTTGCAAATATTATGAGTGTGTTTAAGTGGATGCTACAAGGCAAAATGCTAACCCCTTTTCTCTCTAAGTTGTGGACCTTCTTTTATGAATGCCTGTGATTCCACACTTTAGGTAGGTGTCTAGTGCCTTTGCTCTTAATTCCACCCTCGTTATCTAAAATGCTAATGTTCTTAGAAGATTCAAGCAAGGGAGTCAAGGGTCTGTCTGGACTGTTGTCATCAGAGTAATCACATCCCACATCCACGATTTGCTCCGTGATTCTACAGCTAGATTGCTTCAGATAACCAACCAGGCTCTGATACCACTATAGTAACACTAGGATTGCTAAGGATTTTGAGCCTCATTCTTTTCCGTCATACATGGGCACAGGGGTCCATTTTTCAAATATTGTGAAACCTGAACTCCTGCCTATGTTTTGAAAGAAGTCTTCCTTTCTTAAAGATGATGTAAGTAGCCAAATAGGTCACTCATCAATCAGGGTTTTTTGGTAATGCTGCTGAGAAGTGCCTGTCCTTTTGGCCATACTTCAAGCAACACCTTTCAAATGACTGCATATGGCAAATAATAAATACATTCCTCAACTGTTTCAGTAATTTGTTTGTAATTAGAGAACATTTGCTAATACCTGACTTCATTATTTAATGTCTTGCCTTGGAAATATGTTAAGATAATAGAATATTTTAAGGAATAACTGAACATAGATGCCATAATATGCTGACTTGGTTATTATGGCTATTGTGACTAGCTTTTTTTTTTTCTTTACAGGGGCAAAAATACATAAGACAGCAGGTATAACTCGAGTGATAGAAAAATCTGGGAAATCTTACACTTTAAAAGAAGAAAATGAAAGTGTTTTGAAGAATGAAATGCAAATATATATGGATCATGCAAATGAGGTAATAATTCTTGTACAAACACTACACACACACATATACAGTGCCCTGCTGAGAACTTGTATACTTTCTCACAAAGATTCTTGGCACTGTATTCTTCTCTTTGCTGCTGCTGGCACTTCCTGGTATAGCCTCCCAGAGCCTGCACCATTCCAAGCTGCCCTGCATCTGCTCTGTACTGCTACTGCTGCCTTGCAGGGCAGCCTAGAAGTGGTGGTGATGCAGGGTAGATGCAGGCTTCAGGGGGCTACATGAGGAAGCACAGGAAGTGGCAAGGGGGAGGGGCTGTTTTAACCCATTTTTTTTTCTGGTTCCAAGATGACAAACCCCCCTTCCCAAAAGGAGTACTTCTGGGGGCAAAGGGAAGGAACGTCCAGTGGCAAAGGTCAGGGGTTAGAGGGTGGAACTTCCAGTCCCAAGATGGCAACCCAGGGGCAGGGCTGTCAAGGGGTGGGGCTACCTTTACAGCCCTCTAACTCACAAAACTCATTAAGCGGCCTTCCACCCGAAATAATTGCCAGCCCCTGGTGTAGCAGATTAATTTCAATACAACCTTGAATCTCTTGGGAGCCAGCTAGTTTTGGTAGTGAAGGTAGTTTCCTTCACTCTTAAAGCTTCTAATAGCAGTCATGCAACTGCTTTTGGGGCTGCTAATACCATGTTAATGACAGCATTGTTTAGTTAATCTGCATGGCTTACCATCTCTTTGGGTAAGAGAAGAGTGGGGCATTTCAAGTAGAGTACTTCGAAGTACTTTTTTTTTCCTGAATATAAACTGAAGCGACCTTCTCTTTTTAAATAAGGGACACCGCATTTGTCTTGCACTAGAAGCTGCTGTTTTGGAAGAAGAGAAAAGGAATGAAAATGTTCCCTTTTTCCCAATAATTGTTGGAAGGTAAAAGTGTTGTTTATAGTAAATTTAAATACCTGAGTCAATATGTTCATTTAAATGTACCGGTACAAAATATTTGGACTGACTTGTTTAGTTAACTTCTTTAGAGTCAAGGTCAAAAGGACAGTCAAAGTGCATAGTTTTTTAACTCAGGTGCTTGGTATGTGTGTGTTTTCAAACACAGTGGGAGCATATACACGTATGCCTTACTGTCCAGTTGCCTATTTTACTGCACATTAAAGTGGCACATAAAAAAACTGTGCTGTTGCACAATGTGTTACCTAAAAAGTGCGCGCTTGCGCTACTGCGCATTATGGCAGCTTAAAGTGCATTTAGTACCCCACATTGGAGGTACCAAATTTAATGCGCATTAGGAAAAGCGCATTAATGCATGTGTAGACATGCCCAGTGGATATCAACTGTGAAGAGAAGTTTAGTACTTCTGGCTCAACCCTCCCTACTTCATATAATTTGGATACACAGATGCTTTTATTCTGACTTCCTAACCTATTTCCAGAAAACCAGGAAACACTGAATCTCCAAAGACCCTGATGCTGCCTTCAGTGGATGCAGATAGCACAGGAAAAGCTACCTCATTGGAAAGAAATAGAGCTGTCAGTTCTCCTAGTCAAGTTCCTACCATCAGTCCTTCTGTAAGTATACACATGTATAAGATTTGGTGATAGCTGCTTAGTAAGAATTAAAATAATACAGATTATATCCAAATAGGTGCTAAGACAAACAGTTATAGATTTACACTCTGTTAGCTAGTTGTCATTCCCAGTTCATTTAGGTTGAAATGTTCTTTGAGACAATTAACAAAAGAATCTTAAATTTTAAACTCTTAATCTTCAACTAATTTAAGAGTCTGAAAAGTGTATATGTCCTGCCATACTGACAGCAGTATTAGCTTAAGACATGGATTCAGAACATGTACTAAGAATTTCCCTTTGTGTTAACTACTTTCAAGCAATTCCACCGGAAGTTGTGCCTGTGGTTTCTGATGTTTGGGGATTATGTAATTTAGCAATTTATTAACTGATATGGTTCTGGAATAATAACATCAGAAGCTTTTCAAAATATACATTTTAGATAAAGTTTTGTTGGATATGTAAATATTATAGAAATCTAACTTGTCGTAAGGCACAATAAATGTTAGTTGCTGTTCTACAGTATAGCCCCTTCAGCTAGACACTCACCAGGAGACTGTGTTCTGGTGTGAGCATTATGCCTGTATCCTCTTAAGTGTTCTTTGACTCATAAAAGCTGTAGTATGGTTATTTGATTTCCCAGGCAGTTTTTGGGCAGAGACACTCTATCTTGTTACCCCTTAAGAGAAATAGGACACCATGGTCCTGCTGCTTAAATCCCTAAGACTACTTACCTCTCTCCAAATTTCCCAATACTTTTAAGGACATCCCAGAGCTCCACCTTGGGATATTTTAGGCTTACAATTTACCTGATATGGGGCATATCACAGTTTAAGCAAAAAGGCAGTATTTGTAAGGATTCCACAACTCTGTCACTTCTGTTTATGGAAAAAAACCACAAAGATTATCTCTGTGCCTTTTCCTCCGTCTGTTTTCTATCTCCTAAGTGAGCATTCTTTAGGCCTATGTTGGCGTTCTATGGAGTTCAGGATCTGCTTCCTCATGCACATAACTTCTTCAGTCATGGAGTACAGCCAGTTTCCTTGGCTCATCTTGCAGTTAATTAAACTGGGCTCCCCTGTTCTTCCCCTCTACTCAAGCTTCTTGAGTCTATCCTGAAACATAGATCCAGTGATAATGGCTATCTTTGTTTTGCTTCTGGGGAAATCTCACTGCTCCAAACCTTTCTACAGGCAAACTTGCTAGACTGGTTGCCTTAGATTTTCTTATGACTGCTTTCTGCTTGAATAGGAGCCATCAAATATGCCTATGTTCCTTGGTCTTGTAAATAGGTGATAGCATTATGCCAGTATACAGGTGACTCTCCATATACGGAGGGATTGTGTCCCTCAGCAATTTTGTAACTTGAGAATTTGTAGCATCTATAGAGACACAACTCTGAAAGTATTACAAGCCAAATCAAACATTTGCGTGCCTTAATTATCTGCTAGCAATTAAAAATAATAAAAATTTTTTTTTTTTGAGGCAAAGAATAAGAGTAGCATACTTGCAAGTAATGTGGTCTGAAGCCTCTTCAAAGATTCTACAATTAAGCTGTGATAGTAGGGCAGGGGTAGCCCATGAGCTGGGTCTGGCCTATGGAATCATTGCATCCCAGTCATTGGTGGTCCAGGGGGCTGCTAGAAGTGTACTGCCCCTTGGCTTTACATTGTAGCATGGCCCTTATGCTGCTGCCTGGCCAGAACTCTGTGCTGCTGCCTGGTGGCCAGCCAGCAGTGCCAGGGGCATGTGGCAAAATGGGTACACAGATGGGCAGTAGCATGGAGCTGCCTTCATGTAGTATGGGGTTGGGGGCATGTCTTTGAGGAGGCAGGAACACGTGGCAGGACAAAGCTAGAACTGAATGCAGTTAAGTGCTGCTGACTGGCCAGAGCTCCTCATCATCATGTGCTCTCTGCTCTGTGCTGCAGAAATACAGCTTTATGCATGCAGCTGCATGTCCCTGGATCTACGCTGCTCCCAGTAGCTCCACACTACTGCCTGAATGTGGCCCCACAGATTTGGCTTGTGGTCTGAATCTAGGGGCCTTAAATTCACCCCTCTGCTGTAGTAGGAGATTCTGGATGAGGGCACATGAATAGAAGTAGGAAGGAAAGTATTTGTGATTTGAGAGACTGCAAATCGCAAACAGAAGCTGAAGAAAATTATCTTGCCAGCTTGTTCTGGTGTGGAAAAAGATGGGGGAAAAGATTTCATGTACAACTTATCTGTTTTTAAACCATGAATCTTGTAGAACAATTAAGTGTCAAATGGTCTCCTATGACTCCAATCTCACTTTAACTAGGAATAAAGGACCACAAACTTCAAGTTGGAATCAACCAAATACTTTTATTGCCAAAGACAGTAAGTAACCACAAACCATCTTATTTCTATTAAGGACAGTAATGTCATGTCCTTGTGTTTCTCTTTCTAGATGGTATCTTATGAAGGCTCTGCATTAACAACTGCTGTTGCTGAAGCTACCTGTTCCTCCAATCAAAAAGAGTGCAATTCAAATTCAGCCCAACTAGTGAAGTCTGTTTTTGTGAAAAATGTTGGTTGGGCTTCTCAGGTGAGTGGTGAATCACTAACCAACTCGATAAATACACATTTTCTTGGATACTTTATTACTGTTCACTTTAAATGGGTAAAATTTAATTTTGGCTTCACTTGCAATCGGGGAATAAAAAGTATATTTTGAAATGACCATTTTAGATGCACATATTTGAAGACCAGTACATTGGAAAGTGCAGTATAGGGCAACAAGTGATGGAGGAAGCCTGATATGAATGAAAACTGGAACTTAGCTCTGACAGAAGATGAAGAGGTGACCTGATTCAAATTTAAAATAAGTAGTTGAACTGAACTTTGTTCTATTGTCACACAGGTAGTACTGACTAGAACATCTAGGGCATAGATGAAAAAAGCCTCTAACAGGGGTGGCAATGTTCACTATAAAGTTGTAAAATTTCAGGTTTAAATGGGTAGTGTTAAACTTAACAGTTTTTCACTTGTAATTACCCAGATGCTATTTTAGAGAAGGACTTAATTTTCTTACCATTTCCTGTACCATCCGGCTATGCATGTCTTCAGATAAGCTAGATACAGTTTACACAGGGTGGTAGTGGCAAAAGCGAAAAACACTGTTTAAGTCTAAAAAATTGCTTTCTACAGTGCAGATATAACAGACTTATTGCATGTTCCTGGTTTTAAACTACTAGGACACTGAGCCAATCAAACAGCTTCTGTTATTTGTGTGCAGCTTCTACTTTAGTTTAGTACTAAAGTGTAGCTAGGAACTGTAGTTTCAGAAGTGACTAAAGGACTAGTTTGTTTTTTGTTTTTAAATATTCATGTGCAACTCCTGTTGAAAAGTATTAAAGAGAAATTGGGACTGTACTACCAACCTATAGATTTCTTGTATCTAGATTAGCACTCCTAATCACTTATGCATTTTTAAAAATTGTAATCCTTAGTACGTTGAAAAGAGAAAATGTAGGTGTGCAGTCCTACCTTCTTGAAAGTCTTTATGCTATGATAAAAATCTTTCTTGTTAGTTGACTAGTGGAGCAGTATGGGTTCAATTCAATGATGGATCCCAGTTGGTAGCACAAGCAGGAGTCTCTTCTATCACTTACACATCTCCAAATGGTCAGACAACTAGGTGAGTGTTACTGCTATGAGTATATGGATTCTATTTTTACTTGAGAAGGCTTCTTACCTTATACTTAGCTTCATAGTTCGTTTCTAATTTTGTCCTTTCAGCTACACAATGATTGGGTTTTTTTGCATTAGTGACTAAAGTTTTGACTTTGTCAACCAGGGATTAATTTTAAAGACGGATACATGATTATTGCAATTAGAAGCTATTCATATGTTTGGGTTTTCTTGCATTATACTGAACTACCTTTAACTAATCAGGCTATTGGTTCTTTGGAAAAACTGACTAAAAGAAGCTTTAATAAAAACTGTCTTTTCAGGAGAAGGTGATCAAAGTTTGGAGAGTAACCTCTCATTTAAATGTTTTTTTGTAACAACTTGCTTATAAAACTCTAATACAGAACAGTTGAAATATCTTTAGTATTTATTTGAAGAACAATGCTCAACTGTAATTTAAGCAGTAACCTGATTTCAGCCTATCTTTAGTACCCAAGTTTGAAAATGCTTTATACTTTGTATTGCCACTATCCCTATAGTGAAATGATAAACTCATTCTAAGCATCTCAGGGCATAGCATTCATGGTTTGTTTGTTTTTTTTTAAACTTATGTAACTTCCTCCTTCCCTCAGGTATGGAGAAAATGAAAAATTACCTGAATACATCAAAGAGAAGCTGCATTGTCTGTCTTCCATTCTTGTGATGTTTACCAATCCAGCTGGCCCCCACTGACTAAAGCAAAGCAGCTCTTTGGGCATAAAGGCTTAATAAATGTTTTGCTAGCATTAAAAGTGACTTAATTACTTCGCTTACCAGAAACTTAACATTCAGAAATTCCATTTAGAATAAGATCTGGTACAAATGGAAGAGGAAAGGGTTGGTGCACCAATCTGATCAACTGCAAAACATTGTAGAAGTATGTAGTACTTCTGGCAGATAAAGATCAGAGATTTGTCCACATAATACCAGATTTACTTGAACACAAAGCCTTGCATATAAGGTGAGCCCCTAATAATTAGATTCTACACACAAAAAGTTTAAAACTTATTATAATTTTCCATGTATGAAATAGGGCTGACAAGCCAGTCACTTGACCAGTCAAATATTGTCCATTGACCCTTACCCCTGCTCTGCACTGGTAGGCTCTGGTCCCTGTTGCAGTGATGCGGAGCCAGCACTGCTGTTCCAGCCCAAGTCCTTAGCTGTAGCAGGGATGGAGACTGCCAGCATGAAGCCAAGTGTGGAGCCAAGCAAGCAGTATTGCAGGGGAGGGGAGAGGGAGAAGCAGGAGGATGGGGACTGGGAGAGGAGTGACAGGGCATGCAGAGGCAGGGGGATGGGGAAAAGCAGGTAGCAACTATAATTCTGACTCCAACCCCAACAGCTGCCTGCCCCCCTACTTCCTTGTGCTCAATTGTAAGATGAGGGGCTTTTTCCACCCATGTTAAATGGGGGGAAAAATCCTTCTAATCGAGTAAATACAGTAAATTCTCTGTATAGACTATCCAACATTTATTGTTCAAGAATCAATTTGAAATGAAATCAACTGTATATAGTTTTTTTTCCCCATTGCTCAGTCAGTATTGACAATCAAAGAAAATGCATTTGTGCTGTTGAACTGTTTCTACTTGTAAATAACTTGTATTTTTATGTTGCTTACCCACAATGTATGTAAAAAAGTGTATATTTGTTTTATATTTGCTTTTTTATGTTTTATTTTTGTAGCAGCAGTTTCTAATTTCCCTGCACAAGCGTTTTATAATAAAAATAAATGCAGTGGTAATTGCCTTCCCTTGATTCTTTTGAAGAAAAGTGTTTTGTAAGGAGTGAAAGTAATGATATATTAAGGCTACTTTTTTGTAGCAGTGTATGGAATAAACTTGGTTGTAATACTCCCGTTTTTAATGATATTTATGAAAAATACTGCCTCAATTTTGAATTAAGCCCCAATGAATTATTGCACTTGCCAAAAAAAAA